TTTTCGCTTTCTGACGAAATAAAAAAACTGTTAAATTATCTAAATAACAAAGATGCTGAAGCATTTTTTGTAATTTATTGTGTTTTATCGTCGTTTTTATACGGTTTTGTATTTTTTTTTCGCTTCAATTTAATAGAACTAGTTAACATTTAGCTTTTGATTCAAAATTATCTAAATATCAAAGAGATTGAAGCATTTTTTTGTAATTTATTGAGTTTTATTGTCGTTTTTGTTCAATTTTATTCTTACTTTCGCTTCAATTTAATATAGCAATATTATTCAAAATTATCTAAATATTAAAGAGACTGAAGCATTTTATAATTTATTGAGTTTTATCGTCCTTTTTATTCAATTTTGTTCTTTTTTTTCTTCAATTTAATAAAACTATAGTCAACATTTTGCTTTTTATTCAAAATTATCTGAATATCAAAGAGACTGAAGCATTTTTTTTGGAATTTTTTGACTTTTATCGTCGTTTTTATTCAGTTTTGTTCTTTCTTTTGCTTAAATTTAATAAAACTGTAGTCAACATTTTGCTTTTTATTCAAAATTATCTAAATATCAAAGAGACTGAAGCATTTTTTTGTAATTTATTGACTTTTATCGTCTTTTTTATTCAATTTTGTTCTTTCTTTCACTTCAATTTAATAGAACTATAGTCAACATTTTGCTTTTTATTCAAAATTGAATGTTTTTTATAGCGATTAGGTAGATTAGATTTGTTGGAATTTTACTACAGAAAAATCTGTACAATTCAGAAACATATAATTTTTGGGTTCGTGTCTTAATCTTGCATTGATATATTCCAGAAATTCTGGGTTAATTTGGTATTTTTGATGAAAAATGTACATTTTGCAGAGATTTTACCAAACTGATTTCTTTCATACGTAACCAAAATTGTTATTCCTGACTCGTTTGAGATTAAGAAAAAAATTTCTCTTCTATTATTTGGGTTAGTGTTTTAAATTTTGGGTTTTAATTGAGATTATCGATAAAAAAAGTTATGGCAGTCTTTCATTCAGGTTTTGCAGAATTTTAGATATTCTATGGCAAGTGACTTCTTTTATATTAATATTTTTTCTTTGTTTGATGTAAAAAGTAATATTCATTGATATCTTTGGTTTTTGTTCCAAATTTTAATTTTTTTGTTTTTTCCTTGGCGCTGTGACATTGAAATTATACAAAAATTTATTGTATTGAAATCGGATTCTTTTTCTTTTTTATTACCACTTATTTCAGTTTTTTGTTCCTACGACCCGTTCCAATGAACACATTCTACAAAAATGGTCAACAAAACAAACGCATAAAATTTTTATTGTTATTTCTCTTTTCTATCCGACAATTAAATGTCTGTAATTATCATAGTCTTTGTGGCGACCACCAGGTGCAAGACATACTTAGAGCTAATAACAATTACTAGGCCATTAGGTACGTATCGAATATCGAATTTCATCACAAAAAATCTCGAATCTCTTACGCAAAAAATCGTCCAAATATCTCGTTAAGTCTTACATAAAGAAGACTTGTAATTTTCGTCACAATGTCCAAATTTTCGCCATCGAGGTCGGAGGTCGCCACCTGGTGTCACGGCTGGCTGCCGTCGACCGTTGACTTCGAGAGGGAGGATTCAAGCCCTCGATAATTCCATGGAATTAAGTTCTAAATCATAGATGCGAAACGCTGTCCTTGCAGATAATTTAAATGCAAATTGCGTGGAGTCATTACGCGTAATGATGCGATTTGATTAAATTTCAAGTGTTTTAATTGTGCTTCCGGTTGGAGAGGTATGTTGAGGAGTTTGTGTAAATCAAGGCGAGCCCTTAGAGGATCGGATTACTCGGCCGAGTGTGAGATTATCAACATTCTTTCTCTCCAAACAGATGATTTATTATGTGTTCCTCCCATCGGACGAAAAAATTCAAACCCGTTTTGACTCGATGATTTGTTTGCTATGGTCGGATCGCCGGCGCTTATTCATTTCGGACGTGGATAAATAAGATTCACTTTCTTTCGATATCTACCATTGAAACAACTCTCGTTAAATAATTCATTTTTTTATTTATTTATGTCATTGAAATCGCCGTTTTGTGTCTAGTCTAGCATTGATATCTCCAAAATTTGTGCTCAAATTTGAGTTTTAAGTTTTTGTATAGAGAAAAGTGCATCACAAAACTGACAAAAAATAATATTTTTTTATTTCTTTAGATCTTGTGTTTGCAGATTGACTGGCATTGACATCTCTTGTTGTAATTCAAATTTTTTTATAAAAATTTCTTTGTAAATTTTGTATTACTTCAGATTTTTTTACCCTGATTTTTTTGGATAAAAAATTGACAAGTTTCTTTTTGCATTACTTTTTCTGAGAACTCTCTACTATTGTGGTATCAACAAGAAATTACTCCCTAGGATTTCGGGATATTCGTGAATAGGTTGCCATAAATTTGATTTTGTTGGTTTTTGGTGACAAACAAAAGATATCGTAACCAGTGTCAAAATTTAGGTTAATCACCTGTCAGCTTGTATGGAGGTTTCAACTGATAGCTGACAGCAGGTTGACAGAAAACGTCAACCGTTAACTATAAAGGGTAACCAACCCTAAGCATTCAAAATTACTTCTGAAAATTCTAGTTACAAACAACATGAAAAACGTAATTTTCCTAAAAGTTCAAATCCTAGGTGGTAATTTATTGTTGATAAATCTGTATAAGCTTCCAAAGCGCAAAATTTAAATTTCTAATCTTGTAAAATGTTACACTATCGATATTTGTTTGCGAGAAGATCTTACATAAGTCATCCTGTATATTAAATATAGGATAATAAAAATCTATTAGTCGTTTTTTTTTTAATTAAGTTTCAAGGAATACTATACAGGCTAATTTAAATAAATTGGTGTATCTGTCATAAAAAAAAATATTTTTATAATTTCAGAATTTTTTATACTTTAACGTTCTTTACCTAAATAAAATTGGTTAAAATAAGTGATTTTTAAATCTGTAACTAATTTTCTATAGTATACAGGGTATTTCAGAACTCGCGCCCTAGAAAAAATTGTCAAGTAAAATAATATACCAGGAATATGGAAAAAATGTTAAAAAAATTATCTACAAAAATTTAAAATTATGAAGGTTTAAATTTTGCACACTTTATTTCAATTGAAAAAATATTTTTAAGTAGGTATGTACATGTTTTTTGCTCCAAGATATTAGAAGAGGAAATACTGTTTCCTGAATTGTAACTATTTTTAACGTTAATTGTGGTACTTGGATTCTAATGGGCAAAGTTTTTGTATCTTTACTAAATAATTATGAAAAAAAATATGCAGGTAACATTAAACAGACATAAAAAAGTCAAATGTCAAAAAATAAGTGTCAAAATATTTTGACATTTTACTTATTGGCATTTTTCTCTGGGGCGTGAAACACTCTGTATTAAAAAAAATGTTTTTTATTTATCTGTCATACAGTGGCGGACATCAAATCTATGTGACATCAAATTTATGTAAGTTTAAAAAATGTCAATGTAAGCCACGCTTTATTGTCATTATGATTGACGTTTGAAACTAAAATTTAAAAGTTTTAGTTAACATTTATTTTTAGCGTCAATTTTTGTGATTTTATATAAGTTCAATAAATTATTTTGAATTGTTGTCCTTTTTTCTCTAGCTACAAGGATAAAAATTACAAAAACCAAAAGTGAACTTAGTTGCCTAAGGCCCGTTTTACATTTTTATGTCAGTTAAATGACAATTCGTACAAAATTCCGTGTCCGCTAGTGTGCATTGTATTTAATTTCTGATTAAAGTAGTCTGTGATTTTGAAATTAGGTTGGCAACATTAAATAATGTAGACAGACGATATGACAATTAATAAGTCTCATATATCTTCTGTCTATATTTTGTTCTATGTTGCCAACCTAATTTATTTTAGAGTCACAGGCTACTCTGATTAGAACAAAACTATTGTATTTTTATTATATTTTCGTTTTTATTTTTTAAATTATTTTTTAAAAACAGTCTAAACAAAGTGTTCCTGCTGATACTACCTATACCTACTTATAAACAAACGGAAAAAATTCATCAAAATAAAAAATATCAATGCCGCTTTTTACACTAAGTTTATTAAAATCTATTTATTTTTCTGAAGAACTGACATTAAAATCCATTTTTTTTTTATAATTTGTGGATTGTATTTCTTAGAATAGATATACTAACCGAGAAAAACAAGTTACATGGGTCATTCTGTATATTAAATGTCGAGTAACAAACAATATTTGTTTTTTTTTTTAAGTTTGATTGATTGAGAGATGATTCCATAATTCCAATAATTTAGCTCATTTTCTTTAATCTCGTAATTGTACTAACATTAATTTTTTATTTTAGTTTTGCAGTTTAGCGAAATTTTCAAGTTTGATACTTGGAGATTCAAAACAGATTTCGTGCATTTGTATATTTTTAACCTTCCACCAGTAAATAAATAAAACACTAAATAATCCAAATGTTTACGTAAAATTCTCCACTTTCGTCAAAACTAGTCTGACATTTCGAGTAAACTTTGATAAATGTTTGTTTTTTCGTACCCAGATCATATAAATAAGAAACGTTTGAAAATTTGAATAAAAAACCACTCTCTCGTACCCTTAATGCTTTATTTACAAACAAAACCTTGACTAAAAATTGAATATTTATTCAAATATCGCTCGATCGATCACACGCGATCAAAACATTCACCGGATTTAAATCCCATTGAAAGCGTTTGGCTCGCTTACAAGCCGATTTAAAACCCTCGAGACACTTCAACAAAAGAAATAATACCGAGTGTTCGGTTCACCGCGCTACCATTCATCCACACAAAATGAGTTTATCATTGTATCAATCAACGTAATGAATTATTTAAACAAGTTCAATTATGCGCTGTTACAAAATACGACGCCTACTCGGACGCCTAATGGCCAATTAATTAGCGCAGCCTGCGTGATTGTTGTGCGATTTTGGCGCCCCTCACCCTTATTTAAAAATAATCCATTCAAACGATCACAACACTGAAAACTGAAACTGGATCACTACTGTTGTTTCAGTTGCGGCTCGCGCCAGACTAACGTGCTTTTGGCCGCTACAAGAACCATCGGTGCGTGATATCTGGAGGGGACGTGAGACTCCCCAATTTAACAAGCCATGTGCTAACACGGAACGTGTTTCTAACGATTTAAAAAACCCGTGTTTACGCTCATTTCAAATCAAACAACCAACCACTTTATTTATAACCAAATTACATCTAAATAACATTTCAAACACCCTTAAATTGGAATGATTACTTAATTATAAAAACAGCCCCCTTGGCTTATTTATCACGTTTGGCCTGTTGACGCCTCTTGTTGGCAATGTAAATCGTCCAGAAAAATCCCACAAGGTTGATGATAAAGACCCTCAACTGTAAAAAGTTAATAAAAGTTAGGCAACCAATTATACACCAAGCGTACCATCGGGGGTACAACGCTCAAATTGAGCAAATGAATGATGGTCAGGTACTTCCAACTGGACGTGAGGACACTCCAATACAAACTCTGTAACTGGTTAAGGGCCCCCTCGTGACTTTTGCCCTCCAACCTGGCCAGAACATACAACGTAAATGCTTGGTACAAAGGCGAGTAAATCAGTCGTTCAAGAAAGAGTTTCTTTGCGATGGGAAATGCCGCCTCTTCGGGGACCACTCGTTCCAGCCATGCGTAAAAATAGTGCGGGATGGTGCCCCCAAACAGCAATCTGTAGAAACAATTGTGACTTTTTTTAGTGGAGTTGGGGGTGTTTTACCCGAAAATGCCGTAAGCTAGGAGGCTGTGTTGATTAAGGACTTTGTTTCCAGAGATGCATTGGGAGGCGTAGTTCCCGGCGGTGGCTATAACACAGCTGAAATTGTGTTAATTACAAAATTATTGTGATTGGGGGTACTTACCACGTAATTGCTTTTGTTCGAATCGGGTGGTTGAATAATTGCTCGAAATAAAAACCTAACGCGTTGAATATGGGTTTTGAGAGGACCATTTTGGTTGTTGTTGATTACAATGATTAAAATGCACTTTTTTATCAGTTTAGTTGGGTTAAAAGTCAAGTTCACTTCGGTGTGATGCGAATTCGAGGAAATGGGAACGCGATTGCAGTTGATAGAATTTCGAAGCAATGAAACAATTTTTTTATTAATAGACAATTGGAACGATTTTATTTTAATGAATTTTGTTTTAAATACCAAAAACTATGTTTTATTTAGCCATCTGAGTAATTTTTGAGTTTATTGGTTTGGTTAGGCAACACATAATACGGCTTCGCCATTTAGTAATAAGATAGTCTTTTCACACTTTTCCAAAATTCGCGAATCGTGGCTTACAATTATTACAGTGCGTCCCAAAAAATGCTTCAGGTCGAAATAAACACTGGGATTGTCGATGATCACAATATCACTTTTATCTAATATCAGTCTTGCCAAGCAAATTATTTCTTTTTGCCCCTCGCTGAGGTCGAATATTTCTTCTTCCAAATCAAGGAAAAAAAATCTGTAGAAATTTAATGCTTTCAAAACGTCGCAAATTTCCGAGTTTGTGTGTTCTCCAAACGGGTCAACATTTTCTCGAATAGTTGACTGAAAGAAAATTGGGTCTTCTGAAAAGCCTGAAATTTTTCCACTCGAAGAAAGTTTCCCGTGAGGGTCGATAAGTGTGAAAATTAAATCGGTTTTTCCGGATCCACTATTGTCAATTATTCCAATTTTTTCCTTTCGGGAATCCCCAAAAGTCACGTTTTTTGAGTTGGGTACAAAAAGATCGACATTTTCGACTTGATTTTCTCCGATTTTTGGACAATTTTTCAATACAAATTTTGTTTTTTTCTGATAAGAATAGTCCAAAATTCGCTCCACTGAATTAAAGTGTGTTTCAAATTCACTCCATTTTAAAAGTCCCTCGCTCAAAATTTGTATGAGGAAAAGGCTTTGATGCAGGGCAAAATGTATATTGAGTGATTCTGAAAAAATTCTTTGTTATTGTTTTAAAAGTTTTTTTTTTAATACCAGACGTAACGACCAAAAATCGGCTTATTACTACTCCAAGAAATATGGAAGAAACTAAATTAAAAGAAATGAAAAAAATTCTTTTGGTACACATATACGTAAAAGATGCAGATGTGTACAAATCTAAACGGTTTTCAAACTCTTGGTAAAAAACAGAATTGGTATTTTGTGCCCGTATTGTTGTTAATCCTTCTAAAGTAGAGTTAAAATAATCAATAATTAAACTTTTGGCTAAAAAAAATAATTTTAATTTTGTTTGTCTCTATAAATACTACCTGAGGCTTCCAATCTCTTCACGTCAGTTGCAACTGAACGAAATTTTTTTTGCAAAGTTGTAACACTGAGAATAAAAATTGTAACAGCCACTAGAAAAATCTTTTGCACTAGAATTAACTCAACTATGGCCCATATTGCGCTAAATAAAGTCTAGAAATAACAAAATTTAATTAGGTACACTTAAATTATTATTTTTTAAACCTTGCAAGAATCGTAATACAAAAACGGTAAAATTTCATCCAAAACGAGCAAATCTCTTGAAAACCGACTCAAAACTTGTCCACTCAAATTTTTGCTAAAAAACGCCAAGTCGGCGTTTAACACGGCTTGTGATAAAAATTTGTAAAGTTTAATTGAAGCCTTTTTGATAAAAATAAGAAAATTAACATTGGAAATAACGATGAAAATCAAATAAATCATAAACAGGGCGATATGTCTAGCTATTATATTTTTTCGCTCCTTTAATTCGACTTTCCAGGAGATTAGAGATGTGTCGAAAATTTTGACCATTAGTGGCAAACAAGCCACAAGAAAAATTACGAAAAAGACGAGAAAAAAACCGGTTGTTTGGATCCATTTCTTGTAAATTTTGAAATCAACGCTCCCACCTCTAGTCTCTTCCTCAAAAAAAAATTTAAGAGGCTCAGGTTTTGGTAACAATTGGGTTATTTCATCACTCGCGTCATCGACAGTATCCTCAATTTTTGGTTCTTGAAACAAGTCAAAATTTCGAATTTTTGTTTCAAATTTTTCAACAGAAATTATTTTTCCTTTGTCTAAAACCACACAATTCGGGCAATCGAACATTTCTCTTGCTGTCCAAACCACCAGTTTTTCTCGGAGAAATGACGCACATTTTTCAAATATCAAATTCTTTGTTTCGTGATCTAGACTAGCCAAAGGGTCATCTAGTAGATAAATATCACAGTTTTTGTAAACAGCCCGAGCTAAGTTAATCCGAGCCCTTTGCCCTTTACTCAAACTCGAGCTTTGAATTGGGGTCAAATCGCCCAGTTTTTTGAGGTCAAAGCTCAAGTCGCAAACTTGCAAAACTTGGTTGTATCTCATCTCATCAAAATTTTCCTCGAATAATATGTTTTGGCGTATTGTCGACGCAAAAATCCAAGGTTTTTGGGACGAAAAAGTGAGAGAACCTTGAGTTAAAACCTGGCCTGTGATTGGCTCAAACTCTCGCAAAATTGTCTTCAAAAGGGAGGTTTTCCCACTACCGACTGCACCAGTCACTAGGTGTAGACCCGTCCCAAGGTCAAGGTTAATGTCGCGAAGCACGGTTTCCCTATTTAGTGTTACAGTGACCTTTGTTAGGGCTATTTGGGCACTTGAGGCACCCACTGGTACCCTTATTGGTACTTCGCCCAGTTGTAAAAAACAGTCGAGTCGGTCAATAGTGGCCAAAGTTTCGGCACTCTGACTTACAGAAAGTGGCACAAGTGTCAATAACACGTGACCCAAAATTTGGTAAATCTGGAAGAGGTTAAAAATGGCGTCTAGGGACATTTTATTGAGGTACATGGCCGTCCAGGGGAAGAAACTGGCACAAATCCAGAGTGTGGCATTTGAGGAGATGAGAAATTTGAGTAGGAAAATCTTATGAGTGAGACTGATTTCCTCCCTGGAAAATTATTTCGGAAAATTATTGATTAACTCAAAGTGGGTGAGTTACGATCGAATTTTGCACAGTTTTTCCCCGAAAACCGTCTCCCATTTGTTCATTTTCACTGATTTTATTCCAGATAAAACGGTTTGGGTGAAACCGAAACGACTCTCAGTTGTTTCCAGCATTATTGTTTTCAGAATTTTTGATTTAAGGGCCCAGCGGACTGAAATTTGTGAAAATATACTGCGTGACTTTAAAAATGTGTTTTTTTTAACCACCTTGCAGTACTAATATACCCAGGAAAAAAATTATTGGAACTAAAACTGTGAATCCTACTTTTCTGAAAATTAAATAAATTAAGAAAATTGATTGTAAAATGTAGATCCAGACGTCATTGGCTCTTCGCAGAGATGTGTTAAGGTTATGACAATCCTTAGTTATGAAAGTCAAAATTTTGCCAAAATGCACTTGAGGCAATTTTAAACTTTTTCGGTAAATGAGCCCACAAAGGGCCGATTCGACTTGTAATTGCAACAATTTCAGCTTAAACATGTACCACTGGTCGTAGAGAGTTTCCAAAAGGAATAAAGCGACCAATGAAAAGCCAAAAACACTTCGGGATTCCAAAAATTTGTCAATCAGGAACGGATAACCAATACTAAAAAATTGTTAAAAAACTGATAAATCAATTAGAATACTGACATTAATGAAGTTTTAACAATTAATTGAGTTAGACCCAAGAAAAAGTAGGTGAAAAAGTGACACTTGAGAAGTGGCTCAATGATTGAAAGCTTTTTCTTTTTTGGTTTCAACTCAAGCCAAATTTTTTCCAATTTTTCACACAAATATTTCGATTTTAAATTTTCTGGTAATTCACACAAGTCCTTGCCCCAATCTCTCTTTACGAACAAATTGGCAAAACACCTGAACCAAAATTAGAAATTAATTAGATCAAGTCATACGTAAAAATCCATACAAGAAGAAATTTTTTGTGTGGATTATTTTCTTTTTGTGGCCACTTTCCATCACTCTTATCACTTTCAAACCGAGTAACTACTTCCTTATCAATACTGCGCAAATAAAACACAAATTTTGTCGAAAAAGACACTTTATTGCACCGTGTTGCTTTAACAGGAGGAGCCCCCGTCACATGGGGGGCAACAGCAGGGAGAGCAAGTCGGTGGACAAATCTGACAACAGGGCATCAACACGCAGGGTTGGGGACAACAGGGCACGCAGAGGGGCGCACACGGACACGGCGGGGGCGGCGCGCACGGACACACCTGGACAGGGACGCAGCACGACGTGGGGGCGCAAGGTGGACAGCAGCAAGGGGGGCACGACATTTTAGAGAAAAATAACTGAGAATTTTGAAACTCGACTAAACGGCTTAGGATTTTTTCGAAACTGAGTTGTTTACTTGCGTTGCTATGGAGAAAAGGGGTCACAGGTGACTATCCTGAATTTTAAACGTCAAAAAAGACGATTTTGGGGTAGGTAATTTTTTTTAATGTGGGGGCGTATTTACATTAAAGTTTTTTGGTTTTGACGATTTATTTACATAAAATTTAGAATTACAAAAATTTAGACAAATATAGCAAAAATTCCGACTTTTTCCTTAAGTCTACTCCACTAACAGCATTTCTTTCCGTTTCCGTTCCCGTTGCCGTTGGATGGGCAGCACGGCGGGGGGCAGGGGCAACAGCAAGGCACCACGCAGGGTACGTAGACACAGGGCGGGGGGCAGCAAGGGACGCAACAGGGGGCGCAGCAAGGGGTGCAACAGGGTGCACAGCATGGGGCGCAGCAGGGAGTAGGGCAGCAAGACATTTTTCTGGGTTTTTTTCAAAATTGGGTTGAAACACTGAGAATTTTGAGCTGAAAGAGCTAAACTGCGTGAAAGATTTTTCGGAAATGAATTGTTTACTGGCGTTGTCGGGGTGATGGGGGCTGTTGTTCCGCAGCCACAGCGATTTTTTATCTATCAAAATAAAAACATTCCAGAAATTAAATTAAAACAAATCGTTAACACAAAATTGTGAAAATCATACAATACCCTGAAACTAGTGGTAAATGTCGATTTTTTAATTCAAGGACATTAAGGGGGCATTTTTTATCCATTTATGAACGTACTCGTAAGAATAAATTAAAGATTATTATAAATGTAAGGTAATTAAGTCGACTTACTTAAATATTATTGCGTTTTATGTTTGTTTTTATTTTTCTTGGCTTGAGAATATTTTAAATATAAATACCAGGGTCATGCAATGTCATTGACCCAAAATACAGTTTTTGAACGTACTCTTATAAAATATTGAAAGAAATGTAAATTAGTGTTTAAAATGTTTGATAATTGATCAATAGTCGTACTAATACTCGGAATAAATCTAATTCTGTGTTAAATAATTTATTTTTATCGATTTGTGTCAGCGACTAACTTCATGCTATTTGAAAAATGAAAAAGCGGGAAAGTGCAAAAGAAGTTTGCACCAAACTTCATGTCATAATATCGCAAAAACTTTTTTCACTTCAAGCCAAAAACAATTATGTTGATAAAGTTCCTATTCCGTTCTAAGTAAAAAATGATGCTAAATAATAATCAGTGTTCACTTCAAGTCAGTTAAATGGTGAGTGTGTCATTGGCTAACTTTCCCTCTCGGTCTACTTACAGTCTTAAAAACTAAAAATTTTCCTTAAAAACCATCTGAAACGCTTTAATTATGTCACGATCTTGTCCCCTTGTCGGTCTAATTGCTGTTCCGAGCCCAAAACTGCCGACCAAGTCGCCCTAACCTCACTTTCGTCCCAGGCTGTTGGCTTGTGTGATGGATTCGCCTCAAGCCTGTCTGAGTTCTAGTCCCGAAATAATCAGTCCTGGAGGAAAGAGTCGCTATGGTAGGACCCGACGCCCCAAAATCTCGCGCGACTTCTGCAACATCGACGACATTATCCTCGATGATAACCCCCCGGAAGTGAAGTCGCCTCTCAAGGCCCGCGACATCGTGTTCGAGATCAAAGACGAGTTTACGAAACTCGACGATTTGGGGATGAAAGTGGCGAATAATTTCAAGTCGCATCGGGGCTTGGATGGTTCGATCAAAGAGCGCAAGTTTTTCAAAAGTGCTGTTGAGAGCAAGGTTGAAGTGCCGACCGTCGTGGACGTGAGCAAAGTGCTCAAGTTGATCTCGAAGCCCGGTGTGGAGTACGAGGCGAAAGCCTCGCCGAAAAGCGCCCTGAAGACGTACTCAAACCGGAGGAAACACCTGGAGAGCGACTGCGTGATTGAGAGCTTTGGTTTGCCGGACGAACCGATCGTTCCAGTGAAGAGCCCCGCGTTTCAGCGCAACACTAACATCGACGTGGACTTCGCGGGCGAAAATGACGTGAATTTGCCCAATCCGTGGACGTTTGACGAGATTTTCACCACCGAACCGATCTCTAACGTGGGCGAGATGAGTTGTGCCAGAGGCGGGGCCTCCAAATTGCCCACGAACGGACTGTCTGATGAGAACACCCCCAAGGGGGCTAAGAAGAGGTTGTTTGTTCAAATAAATAAAATTTCACCTGTCTCGAAGAGAACCAAAGTTGGGAGTAGCCCCCCTAAGAGGGTTTTAAGGTCGAATGCGGAGGCAAATTTGCTTCAGATTGTGAATATCAAGTCGCCCGGAAATGAAACAAATGATAGTGTGGGGGAGACAGAACTGTCAAAAGTAGGCCAAGAACTTGATGAACACACTCAGGAGTTGCCAAATATAAGTCAAAAATCCTTAAGGTCAAGTACACTAAAAAATAAGTCACATGAGAAAAGTAAAACAAAAAAAGTCATAAATCCGGTCAAAGTAGCGAAAGAAATTTCAGACGAAAAAAAACAACAGGAAGTTGAGATAGAAAACGAGACGAAGGAGGAGGAATTTAAAGTTGTTGTCAAAGAAGGTCAGTATTGTGTTTCTTGGGGCACTAAAAAATTTTTTTTTGCAGAAGTCATCGAATTTGAAGTTGGAGATTTAACTTGGGCGAAAATTGGTAATTTTCCCTATTGGCCTTGCATGATTGCACAAGAACCGACAACTGGATCCCATAAGAAATTCGGTAATTGGTTGGAGTTTGTCATGTGACAATAAGAACGGACCGCAGACTAAACACTTCCCATTCCCTTTAAATAAAAAAATTGAAGGAATGACGATGAAATAATCGTTTTTAGTACCAAATTAGTTCTATAATCTTCATTGATTGTGTTGGACAAATTTTAATTTTTTATTCAATGTACTTTGTGTTAAAATCCAATGAAGATACAGGATGTGTCAGAACTCGCCCTGCATAGAAAAATTTCAAGTAAGATAAGATACCAGAAACATGGAAAGAATGTTTAAAAATTCTATCTGTTAAAAATTTTAACATTTAATTTTTGACATTTGACATTTTTTATATCGATTTAATGATAGTGATAATCTTGTATATGTTTTTTTATAATTATTTAGTAAAGGTACACAAATTTTGCCAATTAAAGCCACAAAAAAACATTAAATACAGAATTTTTCTAATAGCCTGTAGCAAAAAAAACTTGGAAAATCATTTCCAGGGTGAATATAAAGTATTGAATCAAGCGTTTTTTTTTAAATCATTTGTCTCCAGAAAATAATAATTATTATAAATTAAAGTAAAATAAAAAATGTGATCATATTTTGGGAACGAAATTTTGTATTATGCGATTCTTTTTTTGTCAAAATTGCAATTTTTGTAAAAAACAATTAAAGAAATTAAATATAAAGTGGATGATTGTAATCCTTATATCATAACCTTCATGAAAAAATGGTTTTATAGTGGGTTGCCATTTAAAAAAATTAGAAATTTTGTAGAACTCAAAAACAAAAGAAAAATTTTATTCTTGGTAAGACATCACATTTTTATACTACTTTATCATTCATCAATTAGTTTTACCAGAATATAAATAGTTTAAGCAAAAAACGTTTGGTTCCATACTTTTTATTTACCTGGTATAATTCTTGTCTTGTCTGTTTCATTTATCTCCAGAAGTTATCAGTTTTTTTCGATAAAATGGCAAAGACAAGACACTTTTTGCGGTTTGTTCGTTTATTCGTGCACGTTTTAATTAAAACTAATTTGTGTTGTGTTTTAATATTTTTTATTTAGTTGTGAATCGGGTCCATCCTCTTTATCACGTGAGATTTTTGGGCGATAACGGTCGAAGGTCATGGGTGCATGGCCAAAACGTAATGCTTTTCTACGACAAGGACGACCTTGAACGACTTTCAAAAAAGCTCAAGGACGAGGTAATTTACCGCTCTGAATAACATGTTTTAAGTTTAATTTTTAGGGAAAATTTAAATCGTCTTATATCAAAGAGTGTTGCTTTATAAAGCCGACCCAGATGGCCAAATGGCAACAAGGCGTCTCCGAGGCCGATTCTCTGAGATATAAAACAGTTGACGAACGTTTGAACTACTTTTTCGAAATGTTCGAACGCGAACGCGAAAGGAAAAACAAACTGAAGCAAGAAAAGAAGAAATTGTATGAGGATAGGAAACGATTGCGGTTGTCGGGCGCTGAAAATTTGGCGAAAAAAGTGAAAATTGAAGAAAGTGTAATCCCAGTTGAGGAAATTAAAACGGAACCAGTTGAAACGTTAGAAAACGAGTTGCCTAAAGAAGAACCAGTAGAGATCATTTCAAATCCCGAGAGTTTGAAACCGTTTTCAAAAAAGAAGAAGTATTTGAAAAAGGAAGAATTCTCGGAGGAGCAGCTCGAAGCCCGGAAGAAATTGCGCCACCCGCAAGTCAGAGAGGAAATCCCAGAACCGCTGAAAAAATTCAATCGAGTTTCGATTGAAGAAAACGAAGAAACGAAATCAAGGAAGAAGCCCCAAAACGGCGAAACTTCCGACACCGACTCGAAACTCAGCGATAACAGCTCGATGCCCCCCTCGATGGAATCCCAGGCGGCGTTGTTTCGGCGAAACAACATTTTTCGGGGAATCCCCAAGGAGAAGGTGTGTCAAATTTGCGAAAAAAACGGCGAAGTTTTCAAATGCAAGGGCCCTTGTAACGGTGTTTATCACTACGAGTGTGCCATGAATCGTGTCGTGGAGCAAAAAGAGGAGAAAAGCACCGTTGAGATAATTTCAATGGAGTCGAAACAACCCTTGCCCGATTTGAGTACATCCCCGAATTACAAAGGAATGTCATTGGCTGAGAAAATCGATCTTCGGATGAAAGAAATAATGAAAAAATTCGACTACCAATCGGTATATTGCGAATCAACAGACTCAAGTAGCGAAGAGTATGTTTTGGAGGAGGTTGTCAAACAGGTCACGCCCGAAAAATCAAAAACCCAATCGAAACTCTCCCTCACTGTCACTGCCACGCCCTCGAAGAAGGAAGTACCAATCATAAAACACGTCACTGCCGATAATATCAGTTACATTTGTGTTACCAACGAGGCACCGAAAGAGGCCGAATCGGGGAAAGACAATTTCACCCATTTGAAATGTGCATGGTGTGTCACAGATGAGGCACCTCAGTGTCTCGTTTGCAACAAGGAAGAGTCCGAAATGGGGTCAAAGGTGCGTCAGAAGTGCTCCCTCCACCAATGTGGTAGATATTATCACCCCGAGTGCCTCAAATTATGGCCTCAGACTCAATGGTCGCTTCTTATCAAATCGGACAGTTTCGTATGTCCGCGTCACGTGTGCCATACGTGCATTTCCGATGATCCCCGAGCGGCGAATTCGCGTTGCACGAGTGACAAAGTCGTGAAATGCCTCAAATGCCCCGCGACTTACCACTCGAGTAATTACTGTGTGCCCGCAGGGACGGAAATATTGACAGCATCGCAAATAATATGCCCGAGGCATTTCACCAATAGCAAAAAACGTAACTACCAATCAACGATCAACGCAAATTGGTGTTTCATTTGTTCCAAAGGGGGCGACTTGATTTGTTGCGAGACTTGCCCCACGAGTGTGCATAGAGAGTGTCTCCCGGGGGATTTGGACGAAGTTGAGACGTTTTTCTGCGAGGATTGTCAATCGGGCCGGTTGCCCCTCTACGATGAGATTGTTTGGGTGAAATTGGGGTCGTTTAGGTGGTGGCCTGCGGTGATTTTATTCCCAAATGAGGTTCCAGATAACGTGAAAAATATCCCACATAGTAAGGGGGAATTCGTCGTGAAGTTTTACGGAACTTATGATCATTATTGGGTGGGGAGGGGGAGGACGTTCCTGTTTCAGGAAGGGGATAGGGGGCATTCGGGATCGGTGAAAAAACGAGTCGATAATGCGTTTCTTAAGGCAATCGGAGAGGCTGCGGCGGCACACGAGTTGAAAAAACGTAATTTAATAAATAAAACAGTCGAGGTTTCATTTAATTGAGTGAATTTTGTAGAGTTTAAAGCGAGGAAATTTGAGGAGAAGAATAGTGGGATGAAACCGCCCCCATATATCAGGATTAAGGTCAACAAACCCGTGGGAAATGTGAGGTTGTTTGATGGAAATACGAGCAATACGACCTCTTGTGATTGTGATCCGAACCATCCACATCCCTGTGGCCCGGATAGCGACTGTTTAAATAGGTTTGTTGCAAAATATCATTTTTTTACTTAAACAAAGTCGCCTGTGACTGAAATTAAGTTGGCAACATTGACTATCAAACTCAAATGTCACAATTTTATAGACAATGTGGAGGGGCGGTAGCTGTTGCCACTAGATTTTTTTCATAAATTAAAAAAAATAATTTTAGGTTGCTTTTGACCGAGTGCAACCCTGACGTGTGTCCGGCCGGCGAGCGCTGCAACAACCAATGTTTCGAGAAGCGCGAGTACCCCCCATTGGTGCCCCACCGTACGCTTTTCCGCGGTTGGGGTCTCAAAACGCTCGCCCCCATCCGAAAAGGTCAATTCGTGATTGAATACGTTGGGGAAATGATCGACGAACAGGAGTACCAACGTCGCGTCCAAAAAATGCACGAACAAAAAGAAGAAAACTACTATTTCCTCACGATTGACAAGGACAGAATGTTGGATGCTGGTCCGAAAGGCAACGTTGCCAGATTTATGAACCATTCGTGTGACCCCAACTGTGAAACGCAGAAATGGACGGTAAATGGTGACACCCGTGTTGGATTGTTTGCAAAATGTGACATTCCGGCCGGTACTGAACTCACTTTTAATTATAATTTAGAGTGTATTGGAAAAGAGAAGAAGATCTGTCATTGTGGGGCTCCCAATTGTAGTGGCTACATCGGGGTTAAAGTGAAAACGGTGAGTTTTTTTTTGCTTCGTTAGGTTGGTAATAAAAAGTGTCTCTAGGATAATCCTCCGAGGAAATCCACCAAACCCAAAAAGAAGAAAACACCACCGCCTGAAATTGTCGATAATGACAATCCCTGTTTTATCTGCGGCAAACAGGGCGACGTTGCCGCTTGCAATAACAAAATCTGTACAAAGTATTATCATTTAGCGTGTGTGGGCCTGGAGGCGTGGCCTGAGGGCGGGAAGTGGGTGTGTCAATGGCACAATTGTAACATTTGTACCAAACGCACCATCCGTTGTTGTGTCAAATGTATTAACTCGTATTGTCCGTCTCACTCTGACGGTAACGTCCGCTACGACAAACTCCTAGGGTTCATTTGTAGCGACCATGACCCGGTGAGTATCCCCTCTCTTGTGATTGGCTGAATTTTGACGAATCCGATTAGTCGAAGGAATCAAACGCGATTGTGCCGAGTGACGTGCCTGCACCCGATTCGTGTGTGACCGACGAGGGCGTGGTCACGTCAACAACTCCCGATTTGCGTATGAACGGCATTACTTCCACACCAGTGAAGAAAAATGACAGTTCGCACGACGAAAGTGTGGTGAGTTCGTCCGAAAAGAAACGGAAGAAGAAAGTTAAAAACACTGCCAATTTTTTACACGAAAACGAAGTCAAATTGAGTCATTTCACTCCTGAGAAGTATTTGAGGACGAGGAGTAGGATTAATGACCCTGAAAGGGACCTCCCGATCCGAAAACGTACCAGACTTAGATGTGGGAATTCCTTGTAAATTCTGATAGAAATTTGGGGTTTAATCGCATGCTTAAATGGATAAGGTTCTATTTATTCAGTGTTTCATAAGGCGATTAATAAATTTTTTAATATAATATAATATTGTATAAAGGGGTTTATTTACACTAAACTATGGAACATGTTTTCGTATTCGGTGATCAGTTCGTCGATTGAGGGTCTGGATTTGACACTTCGTTGCAGGCACTTTTTTATCGTATTAATTAGTTTCTGGGGGACCCAATCGGCCTCGGGGAACTCGATTCTGTGGTCGGGGTTCACGATCGTGGAGAGTTTCACCCAGATTTGCGTGATGTGTTGGAAGGGGGTGCGTCGGTAGACCAGTTGGTATAAAATACACCCCAGCGACCACACGTCAGACTTATAACTAATCTGAAAAAAAAAATGCTTAATAATTACATTCGGATGTGGATAGAGTTTTTTTAAAAGTTTCAAGCGTAACATCATTCACAGCTAATGAATGATGTTTCACAGCTAAACTCTTACATATTAATGTACATCAAGTACATATAAGTCTAGATACATCTTTAATTTAAAGGCCGATTCACACTTTAGTCATTCAGGTTAAATTTAATCACATCAATAATGACAAAAATCTGTAAGTTTGCTACCCTATGCTAATTATGTTGTTAATTTTAATTATTTTTTGCTACATGGGGTACACATTTATTTGAAAAAATATTTCTTTAGGGAAGATTGAGGTTAGGATTGTTTGAATTTTCGCATGGTTGCTACCTTAAAATGATCCCTTTCAACTACTTTGATGCACATTAACATGAAAACGAGTATAATTATGTAAAGTCCTTTATTGACCTTTAAGTGTTAAAATTTGAAAAAAAAAAGTATACAGTGCATCGCACGAAATTATTTTCAACTATACAGCGTGTCCCAAAAGTAAGTTGCAATATAAACTTGTTTCTTTTTAAATTGAAACTCCATATTAGGGTAGCAAAAGTTGGTATTGTAACTTATTTTTGGGACACGCTGTATAGTTGAAAGTGATTCCTGTAAAATTTTTGAAAAATTGAGCATTTCAAGGTCAATAATGGACATTACCAACTCGTAACCCATTTGGGTGAATTTTAATTACTTTGTACTTTGGTTTTCCAAACGTGGGGCTGTTCACGTTCGAACTAGTCTCACCACTTAAAGCTTCGGGGCTTATGTAATTGAAGGAGCCCTCGGGGACCCCCTTGAAAACACTGGTCATATCATTTTGAATACAACTGGAGATTCCGAAGTCGATGAGTTTTAAATAACCCCCGACTTCGAGGAAATTCGCCGGTTTTAAGTCCGAATGAACGATTCCATTTGAATGAATTTGCTTAACGGCGTACAACATTTCCATCCAATAGTAAAGCAGCATGTAGAGGGGCATATGAGCGGTGTTGAGGGCGGATTCTTTCAAAATTTTCGATAAGTCAGTACCACCAACCTCCAGTACGACCAACAAAGTTTTTTCCTCCTCCTTAATTTCACTAGAAAAATAATTAGAATTTTAATGGAAACTGGCTACCAACTTACTAATCAAACATTTTAATGATGCGATTGCACTTTTGTAACTTCTCCAACATTTTCACCTCGTTAATAAACCCCTTGGCCGAGTCTTTATTCTCAAGCGAGACCACTTTGATCGCTCTGTGACTCTTCGTCTGGGGGTTAAAACAGTGAAAAACCTGTGAACTTCCCCCTTTTCCCAGCTCGTTCAAAACAGTGTAGGCAACATCGTTGACTTGAATTTTCCCAAATGAGATCTCTGGTGGTATTTGCACGGTGTCGACATCACAATCACGTGGGGTCTGCAGCCTCACGCTGCATTGCACCTTCGGCGGGATTTTATTCTTAGGGGTGGTGTAAATGAAGTTGGGTTTGGCGACAGGACATGGGGTCACGAACTTCTCGCAAGGGGGCTCTTTGGACGGCGTCAAAAGCGGGGGGAAGTTGAGGTCGAAACTGTCCTGCAGGGGGGTCGGGGACTGCCGGGTTTCCGTAGTGGGGTAATAGGAATTGGCGCGTTCTTGGCTGTGCTCCGCTTCCTCGATTTCCTTCTGGATTTCGTCGAGGCGAAGCGGCTTGATTTTGAGGAACTTGCGGCGCTGGCATTGTCGCCTGGGGCAAATATAAAGTTTTTCGCACCAAGTAGGGAAAAATCACTTACCGTTTGATTGTACTAAAGGCAAATCGTGGCTCCGTTGAATTATTTTCGGGTCGGGGCTGTGTTAACATCGAGAAATCACCAGTCAAAGAACTCATTTCAAATTTGTTTTTTCAACGGTTTTCCGCCATGACACCAACCGTAACCACCAAAGTCACTAGTGTCATTCATCATGACAATTTTTCACACTTCTTTTGCATCAATTACGGGAAAATCACTTATTTATAGCTTAGTATTTAATTATACTTAACGCAAACGCATTTAGTAATTTCTAAGAATTTATTTTGAATTTATTTTTTCCGTCAGGTCACCAAACATAAACGGTGAAAAGTTACTAGTGTCATTTGTGGTTGTGGTATTTTTTACTTATGTGTCAATGAGGTGAAACTTGTTTCATTTTTTGAAATATTTATACCAAAATTGTTACTTTACTATTTTATTGTATTATTAGTTAGAAGAAATATTTGAATAAATAGCCTTTCCCCTACGTTGCCAACAAAGTCGTGGCAAAGTCCCTAGTGTCATTTTGACAGCTGTCACCTGTCACTCACAAATGAAAACTAATTGTTTTTGTTAAACAATGTAAGAGAAAAATACAATGAGAGTGTTTTTGCTTGGTTTCATGTTGGTCGTATGCGTGGTTCGGCAGTCCTCTGGCTACAAGGAGCGTAAGTGTGGCCCCCTTGTCTGGCTTTTTGTAGCCCTATTTTGCAGTGAGTATGGAGAGCGACGAATTGTGTTCAGCTATAAACAAGAAACGTAGAGTGAGATTAGATAAGGGGCACCGGTCGGGGCTAGTGGTGCGCCAGTACCGGTTGCAGGACCATAGTTTAGATTGGACTAGAAATTTCAAATGTCGGTTCGAAGTCACACCGTCGAGCTCTCGCGAGGGCGTAATCGCTGTGATACAACATTTGAGTTTTCGTAAAAATTCGTCGACGGATGAGTGTGTAGATTATGTGCAATTCACGCGGAAAGATGGGTCGACGAGTCAGAAATTCTGCGGCCGGTTTAACGCCGCTCTCTACATGGACCACAATTTCGTAAATACGGCCGATCCAGTGTCGTCAGGGACGGCTTTCGTCGACGAAAATGGGGAATTGGGGGTCGTTATATCGGTCTCGAGGGAGCACCTGGAGAACGACGAGGAGATGGACTTGAGTATCGTTTTCACGACTTACAGGCGTAAGTTTCGCGCCTAAAAGGGGGCTAAAACTACACGAAACTTGCAGATTGTTCCCTAGTCTTGAAACGCGATACCAGCTACAGGCCTTGTAGCGAAAAACGACGCGAGTTTTGTATTTTTTCTGGCTTTTTTAAGGACAGTTTTATCAATTGTCCGTTTCCGGATTGCGAGGACGAAGAAGGCTGCTCCCAAACACCAATCGTAAGTCTTTAAAACACTCTAAACCAATTTCTGGTAATGTAAATACAGGAAGTCGTCAATGTTTACTACGGCAATAAAGTCCTAATCGGGGCTGTGTCTTCCGTATTTGTGGTCTTTGCCCTTTTTATCGTCTGTCTTTGGATATGCAAGACGTACAAGATTTTTTGTTGGTCGCAAAGTTTCGCAAATCCTGGTTCCTCGTCGCAAAATCCAAGCGATGCTGTAAGTAACGACTTTTTCATGACACCCTTTATAATTGTGTTTTTTAGCCTAGGGTAATAGAATTGAATGAGCAAACCGGGTCTAGGGCTTCGGCCCCACCGCCAAACCCCTCTAGTGCCAATCAGATTGAAGCAGATAAGGATTTACCACCGTCTTACGAAAGTCTTTTTCCCTCAAGGTAGTACAAGAAATTGGGAAGGTTAACGCACATTCCACTTATCAAGATTGGTATCAAAGTGTCAATGATTGGTGTAAAGAGACTATTTTGTACAATTGATTTACTACTAACGTATGACAGTATTAAAATACAAGTCTACTTGCCAAATACTGAATTTTTAATATACTCGAATGTTTTTATAACTATTATATCTATTTATATTTTTTATCAAGTTGTGAACAATAAACGATTGTATAATACGAATCGAGTTTCATTTGTCCCATCAAGTAGCAATCGGAATAATAACAAAAATAGTTGAAGCACGAGTGGCGTAGGGGCGAGTTGAGGAACAAATAAATGACTGTTTCAATGGCCTTTTACACTATTGTTTTATTCTTTCTATTTTGGGCTTTTTTTGTTGTTTTTAAATAAAAAATAAAAAAATTGTGTGTTTGTCATGAAGGTATTGAAAAACTCGAAATGACATATTAATGTATAATGAAAATGACGTCGCCGGAAATCCGGCAAATTGTGAACAATATTGCAAGGAATTTACTGTAATGAAAGAAAATTACGTTTTTGAATGCCCTAAGGTTGGTTACCCAACTTGTATTTGTGACCAACATTAAAAACTTAAAATACATTAGGCGCTGTTAACACACCCAAACGAGTTCGTTAACAGACGCAAAATATAAAAACCGATTTGAAATTAGAATCTTGTAGACCAAATATTTTTTAAAAGGGGCAAAAATAAAAAAGGTGACGTGAAACTGATTTGCACCATGTTGTTTTTTTAACCATCCTTCACTAGAAATAATTAGTTTTGTATAGACTTTCCAGCAACAGATTCAACATTTTTAAATATAAGTACGAAACACATTAAAAATCACTAAAACAGGCTCATTGTGAACTGCTATTACGTTGGTAGTACTCGCGCGCTTAAAATCCGCCAACTTTGCACCTGTCATGTTTTGTAGTTCTGTTAAATTCGAATCCAAAACTTCTGTGGAAGATTATATTATTTTTGTTTAACGCCGTTTATGTTTTATATGTTTAGTTGCTGTATCAGTTAGTAATATTTGTTGTCTTATAGTGTAGGTGTGTTGAATGTAAGGGATTTGCTTTTGGTTATCCGAAAAGCCATTAAGATGACGAACATTTTAAGGTAAATACATATTCCTGATTGATTATTAATAACACTGTTAAACTGAATGGTTTGACACTTTATTTTAAAGTAAAAATTCAAATTTGACTGGGTACTACTTTTCAGCGCGTAGTGTCTAGTAACTTCTATTTCACCATCAATTACTTTTTTATGAAAGGGTATATACCAACTAGACGAAAATAAAGCCCATTTCTGACACGTCAATTTTTGTTTATTTTAATTATTGACCTCTTGTAATGCAAATTTGTTTTCTGTTCCAACTTGTAATGATTCAAAACTTGTTTTCGCGACTTTAAATAATGGAATTTGAAGTTGGCGTAGAGCAGTTTTAATGTGACTCCCTGTCAAAAATGTCGAATTTTGCGCGGCTTGCAATTGTATGTTTCCTCCTGTACACAGCTCTAAATATAAAAAATGCCGCTGTTGCTTACAAATGGAAGGGAAAACTCCGATTCCATAACTGGTAAACTCTGGATTTAGAACGAAAACCCATCACCCTTTCAATTTTCCTCCCAGTTTCAGCTCGTGGAAGATAATGGAGTCCACCCCGTTTCCTACAGATTATGCGGTACACATTAGTACCAAATGGACTAATAAAACTGAAGCTCGTAAATTCGGTACCCTCCCACAAGATTTTTACAGTTACAATTGGCAAATGGAACAAATCGACGGTACTATTGTCTAGTTTACTTTTCTACAATTTGTCTTCGGACTTTTACAGGCAACACTGTGCACAAGATAGATATTCCCCAGGATTGGTTAAGTTTTAACAACAGCAAGATTGCTATCCCGGCTTACGCTTTTCGACCCGGAAAATACATACTCTACCCTAACGTTAAACGTCTAAGCACCGTAAGTCGTTGATTACATACAGGCTGACTCAGGGGGTGTGTAATCGGTCTATAACTTTTTTGCTATTTGATTTACAGCGTGTGTCAGAACTCGCGCCCCAGAGAAAAATTTCAAGATAAGATACCAGGAATTTGGAAAAAATGTTTACAAAATTCTATCTGTCAAAAAATCTTGACATTTATTTTTTGACATTTGACATTTTTTATGTCTATTTAAATCTTCTGATGATCTTGTATACACAGGCTGTCCCAGCAAGTTGAAAAAGTCTATTAGTGACCTTTAAATGGTAAAATTAAATAAAAATTATATAGGACATTGATAGATACTAATCTAGTGCATCACCTAAAATTATTTTCAACCATACAGCATGTCCAGTTGGAGACAAAATACTTTGGTCGTCACTTTTCTGAAATTTTATGTAATTTAAGCTTTAACGTTAAAATGAATGACAATTTCTAATTAATGACAGCTATAATATTTACCTATCAAAAATATGTACATACAACTTGTCAACTATGATTGACAGTAACTAAAAATAAGGTTAACAGTCCTAAAGCATGCTTTACAATTTAAGGTCACTTAAGTGACATTGACAACCAAAGTATTATGTCTCCAACTGTCCCAAAAATAAGTTACGATACAAAGTTATGTTTATTGAAAGGAAACACCGTATGTTTCTTTGCATTTTTGGATGTAGCCTTATAAAACAATGTTTTTACACTAAACTTTTATTTCGATTAGTCGGTTAGTTTTAGAAATAAGACGTTGTTTTTTACGATAACATGCACTTTTTAAAAATTCATTGCACAAAAACTAAAGTAAGCTACTACTAAGTTTTCGTCAAAAAAAACGCGTTATTTTTAGAACTAAGCAAAATCGGCCAATAAAAGTTTAGCTTAAAAACAATGTTATAAAAATCTACATCCAAAAACGCTAAGAAACATATGGTGTTTCATTAAAAAATCAAGGTCCTATACAATTTTTTTTTTAATTTTATTTTTTAAAGGTCATGGACTTTTTCAACTCGCTGGGCTACCCTGTATGTTTTTTATAATTATTTAGTAAGAGTACAAAAATTTTGGTAATAAAAGCCACAAATAACATTACACAGAGTTAGAATTTAAGATACAGCTTCCTTGTTTCCTCTTATAATAGCCTGTAGCAAAAAAACTTAGAAAATTATTTTTCCAACAGAAATAAATAGAGTCAAAGTGCAATATTTAAACTCTCGTAACTTCGAAATTTTTATAGATATTTTTCTTTTAACATTTTTATCAACTATTTGCTAGAACTACAAGCTATTATAGGTTTTCATAGCAGACTTTGCACTGATTATTTAAATGTCCGTTTCTTTCTGTCAAGTAGGCGCATGGCAGTTCGTATATTATCTAGATGTCAAAAATATTAATCTAATGAAATTAAATTGTTCTATGAAACGTCTCAAAGATCCTAAAATGAGATGTTATTGGTGTTTATTTATACAAATCGTTCACCACGGTTTCCTGTAATAATTTACATAAAAATTTATTTGACATTTCTCATTTGTCATTGTGACATTTTATCTTCAGCAAACACACGTTTTAAATTTCTACGCGTGTTTGATCGACAGACTTTTTGATCGCACTGTATAATAAAATGTTGAATAATTCGGAACGCAAAGAGATAGACCTACAATAGTTTACACAAAGTTATTATTAAAAATATATAGTGTGTTCTACTAAAAAAATACACCTCTGGGTCAGCCTTTTTATACTTGCATTAATGACGATCACATAATAGCGGTCAAATTTAAAAAACTATTATAAAAATGGAGGTGAAATCTTTAGGAGGTTCCGGAAACAGAGGTCAAATTTTGCCCTCTCTTGTATATAGCGAAGAAGCCGATAGTTGTGGTATCGGGAGGGAGCCATCAAACAGTGCCTCCGAATACCGAAGTCACCCTCAGCGCTGAAGGCTCCTCCGACCCCAATCTAAGCAAACCAAGTTACAAAGACATCAATTTCGAGTGGAGTTGCAAGCAGAAAAAATCATCATTTTGCAAACAAGTCCCAGTTTCCACAGACAGCAAATTGGTGATTCCCGCACGCCATGTCCTGGACCAGGACCTGATCGAAGTGACCTTGAAAGGGACAACAAAAGATACTGGCAAAGGCGACATCCTCAATTCCACCACCATCACCAAAACCATCGAAGTTAAACTAAATACGGTTCCATTGGAGATTGTCTGCGAGAAAAACTGCCCTCCCAAGTCCTACGCGTCCAATTACCACGCCATGACCTTTTTTCGGGTGTACTGTTCCCAGCAATGCGAGCAAGTGAAGAATGACGATTACGTGTGGACTATTAAAAGGATTGGCAACAAACCTTTCGATTTCGACTATGAGAAAAGTACGCAATTTGGGCGAAACCTGGCGAAGTTTGTGATCGAAAAGGACACCCTCAAGCCGGGGACGTACTTGATTTCGGTCCGGCTCAGGGAATCGCACCCTTTGAGGGGCTACGCGGAATACACCCTCAATTTCGCGGGCTTGGCGCGAGTCTCACAGTGTCAAGTTCGCCCCAAAAAGGGCGATACTGTCCTCAGCTCCTTCAATATGTTGTGTTTACAAAAAGATGTTCATCAAAGGAACGTATACGAGTTCTACGCGGTGAAAAAACCCTACACAGGCGAACTATCTGATGCGGATTTGATTGCAGCGGGACCTTTTCCGACTGTTAGCGAGAAACTTTTCAATTTGCCGATATCGGCAACTCACGAGTTCATTTTGAAAGTCAAGAGTGTTGGTGGAGCGTCGCAGAGATTTCATATCAAAGTTGAGGTCACGTCCACGATGGACAAAATGAGTGATAGGCAGTTAAAAAACGTACTCGATAAAATTTATCCTGGTGGTAAAAAAGATAATATTCTAGAGGACATTTTGAGCGATTCGCCGGTCAATAAAATGCGAGGATTTCAAAGGTTGAGGAGTTTGATTGACGTGATTGTCGATAGGAAATTCAAAGGTGATAATCTTAAAGAGTTTCTCACAAAGTGGAAGTTTAATGTGGTTGAGGATATGTTGTCGGCGCCGTTAGATGACGTCACTGACGTGCTTCAAATGACCAATGCCATTTCGAAGTTGGTAGGCTTGAGTTTTCCTCATTGTTCCATCTAATTTAGGTCCAGTTTCATAATCGAATTTAAAGGAGTTTTAAATTAAATGCTTTAGAATATGCTAATTACTATGGACTTGTTGACAAAAATTTCACATTCTAAACCAACATCAACTTTAAAGTTATGAAACTGGCCCTTAGCAAAAAAAAAAAGAAACTGGGTGGCAACTCGTTTAAAAAAATGAGTTAATTTCGATTTTTCTTATCAAAATTTAATTTGATTTTTTTTCTATTCCTTGTTTCTGAATTTATGCAAAAGGTTTCGTTTTTATCTTAAGCATCCTCAGACTTGCTTGATTTAAAAAACCTGGTCATGTGACTGTCATTATAAGGGGATCAAGGTTTTGTATACGTAGGGAATAACTATTTTTAAATGTGAATAAAGTTACACCTGAAAAGTCGACACATAGTAAATAATATTCAGGATGTTTCAGAACTTTCGTCCCAGAAAAAAATGTTTAAAAAATTCTACCTGTCAAAAAATTTTGATATTTGATTTTTTTTATCTATTTAATATTACCGGTGATCTTGTACTACTTATATGTTTATTTTTTCATAATTATACAGTAAAGGTACAAAAACTACGACAAATAACGTTGAACATACAAAGCAAAATTCATGATACAGCTTATTTGTTTCCTCTTCTAATAGCCTGCAGTAAAAAAACATGTAAAATTATTTTTTCAACGGAAATAAATAGAGTTGAAATTTAAACCCCCATAATGTCGAAATTTTTATAGATATTTTATCAATTTTTTCCATCTTATTTGGCATTGTTTTCTGGGGAGCGAGTTCTTTAACACCCTGTACATTTTTTTTAATGAAATCATTAAGCCAGAGTTTCGTATTTTATCAGACATCTTCAGGCCTAATTTTGCCACATTTTGCAATGCACGAATAAAAAAACATGTTTTACCAATTTTTATTAAAACAAAAACATTGAAGAACCCATTAAATTACACAGGCAAATTTTATAAGTTACGTTGTCAATAATAAAATAACATAGTTCATACCTGCCTTAATTTTCGATTTGAGTGGTCTGTGATTTTGAAATTAAGGTGGCAAAACTGAATAATGTAGAGACAGAAAAAGGGCAATCTTATAATTCAATCTTCTCTCTCTCTTTCTTATTATTTAAAATTAACTTAATTTCAAAATCATTGTCGGGTGAATAAAAAGTATGAAACCAAACGTTTTTTGCATAAAATAATTACTTTAATAATTAGTGCAGTGTAAAATATGTACAGTTGTGGAATTAAAATTTCGGGCAGTATTGTCATTTTCGTACTGTAAACTCTAAAACAACCTTTACATTAATAACCTCATTTTTTACTCTTGTCAGTTTATGTCATTTTGACTTATTTACTTTCAAAAATTGTGATTTGTGGCATAATAACGGGTAGGCAGCAGATCAAAGCGATGATTTAATTACACTTACTTTAATTAATAAATTTCCTAAGACATATAATTAACAATTTTAACAACAAAAAAATATATTTATTTGTCAAATGTCAGTCATGATGACAGTAAAACTTTTCGAAATTCCTTTTTTTTAATTACAACCTACTGTGACATTTTTTTAAATTAAAGACTATGAGCTAAAATAATCTCTAATTAAATAAAATTGTTTTTTATCATCACGAAAATTTTCCTATCTTAACTGATGTAGTCATTGGATGGATCAAAAAATCCAATAAGAACTCACTTTCTTCCATTTTTAATCCGTCCGAAACCACCCCTCAGAACGCAACTTTAACAATTTATTTAAAACACTACTGGTTAAAAATCAATTATATTTATTTAGAGATCATAACTAGATCATAATTTTTAATTAAAAAAAATGTCATGGCGGGGTGTCGTTATTTTTTTTTCAAAACTCGAAAACTAACAAATTTCGAAAAATTTTATTCTTGAAAAGCGATCACATTGGAAAGTGCTTTAAACATTACTAATTATTATTTCTTATTTCTTATTATTTCTTTCGTAAAGTAATTAGTTTTTACTCACCCTGTATAATGTTAATAGTCTTAGACATGTGATAAACTCACCGAAAACTCTAGGTAAGTGACGACGCTCTACCGGAAAGTGATCCACTTTTCTCGAAATTTACAACAACATTTTGCAAGAAAATGATGGACAAGCACTTGGAAATGGTCCAAAATGATAACTTCCCTTTTGATCTCGCCGATAAAGTTGGTAGAATGTCAAGGTACCCAATCTATCCTCAGTGGTACCATAAATACATAATTTTTCGATTCAGTTCTATAACGGCTTGTTTGGAAACGAACACAAACCCAAATTACAAGGTAATCAAACCTTTGGAAGACATAAACATAACAACAGAAGCTGCAGTCATCGACGAGCCACTGATCACTGAAAACTACGAAAATTATGAGGATTTCGGCGACGATTATTACAAAAATTTGGATTATGTGCGTTTATTTTGCTTGTTTGGGCATTTCGTCTAAATTATCTCCCTTAGTTAAGAGAATCAACTTATAACATTGTCAATGCCTCGGCACAGGCGGCTAAAACCATGGCGTTTGTCTCCGTAGCCGGCGAGAGGTTTAGCGAAACCGAGGGCAGAAGAAGTAAGACTGTTGTAGCGAAGGATTATGGTTACGAATTGGTTAACGTTGAAGTGAAATCACATGGGGTTACAGTAGTTCCGTCTCAAGACTTCCAAAAAGACAAGCATTCTTACGATATTCTGGTAACAAAAAACTGAAATTTAACCCAAAACGGCGTATTGCCGCTTTAGTTGACAACCTGGTCGAAAGACATCATGTGGTGGAACCCTCCGAAAACTCGAGTAACAACTGACATCGCCAGCGTACAAATCTGGCACTCTTCTTGCAAACAACGCGTGAGAAAGTTCGAAAAACCGGCTCAAATTTACTTCGAAGTGAGAAACGACTCAAATTTTGAGCCGAAATCCGTCGAGGACACGTTTGTGGTACCTGGCGGGTACCAAAGCTTGACGGGTGAACCCTTGGACCGAATTGTTTTAGTCCGAAGGGTTGCTATGTCGTCACAGCAAGCAATTGACGTAGAATTTGATATTTCCGATGTTCTTGAGGTGATTTTGTTAATTAGTGGTACCTATGGATACTTAAAGACTAGGATACGACACGATGTAAAATAAAACATCTTCGTTCTGGATAGTTCCTTTCCCGTTTAAGTTTTAAGAGAAATGAAATAAAAAATGGCAAATAAAAAAATATAGACAGATAGAGCATTAAATTCTCAATAATAAGAGATAAGCTAATGCAAAAATTTTATTGAGAACTATATTTAAAAAAATTTCAAACATTTAGCAATTTGGCCGTCTCATATTTTTGAAAATGTTGCGAATCCGGTTAAAGGTGCAAGAAAAATATAAAAAAGAAAGTTGATGAGAATAAAATTTTCAAGAAAAGAGTCCGCGAGAGATACCTTTATCATCAATGATTTAGGTCCTAAAGACGCTCAAGTGACGAATACGTGTCATTTTTACCGGTGGTCAAGAGACAAAAAATTAATTTCATTCAATTTTGCTTTATTTTGTTTGAAAACTTCTTGTTTATTGGTTTTAAAATTCAATATAAAATGGATTTGATAGTAATTTTATTRTTTTTGTAAAATGATTAAGCTCTAAAATATGTACATATTGCCCGTCACTTTCAATAAGTGAAATAAGTTGAACGCCTAATTTAAACCTAAACGGTTGAAGATAGAGAGATATGATCTCGTGGACTTTTTTGTAGGAAATTTAATTCTCTACAACTTTGTTCCGTTCTGCGAATATCGTTAAAGATACAAAAAAAAGTGTAAGAAACAAAATGGTAGAGAAAAAAAATTGCTACAAAAGAGTCCGCGAGACCATATTTTTATATTCAACGGTTTAGGGTCGTTCAAAGAAGTTTCCAAACAAAATAAAGAAAAATTAAATTTATAAGAAATACAGTAAACAAATGGGTTTTTTACAATTAGATGTTGTTCCTGAATTAAAAAAGTACCTCACACACACACAGTAAACAGAGTTTTTATCTCATTTTGAGTTTTTGTAACGGATTGCAAAATTCAATAGTTTTTATTTTTTATAAAAAAACGCATTATTTAAATTGCATGAAAAAAATACAGTAACATAAGTAGGTAATCTACAATACGCCAAAAATTAATCAAAAAATTCTTTTGTACAGTTTTTTTATAAAAAAATAAAATGGCCAAAAATAGAGGTTCTTTTTTATTTTTAAACGGCACGGATAAAAATTTATAATTTATATATATTGCTGCTATGCCCATCAAAAAGTTACGATATTTTTTTGAGAATTTTTAAATAACGATTTATTTTTTTATTCAGTGTAGTTCAACCTTAAATTGTTCCTGTGGCACTGAATCACCAGTAAAAATGACACGAATTCGTCGATTGAGCGGCTTTGAACGTCTTTGAGGCCTAAACCAATAAAGATAGAGGTATGGTCTCGGGCACTTTTTACTACAAAATTTTATTCTCTACAACTTTCTTTTTTACATTTTTCTTGTATCTTCAACTGTATTCGCAGCATTTTGAAAAACATGGAACGCTCACATTTTAAATTTTATTATTTTTTTTCTCATATTTCTCGCGAAAAATTTAGTCGTTCGTTTTACACAGCTTATTAAGAATGTAAAGCTCAACATTTTTACATTTTTTTCCAAGCAATTAGTACACTGGTTGAATTTAAATTAATTTAAAACGATTTGAAACTGAGACGGTAAAACGCCCTCATTTTTACTTCGCCGTTCTATTTTTTTCGAGTCCAAAAAATCGAGCAATTTTGTATCTCGTTTCGTCTCCTAGTATGTAGTTCCCCGTAGTGGTACCAATTGGTACTACTAGTGGTAGGTTTCAGGTCGTGTTTACTAAATTTGAATTTCCGACTTCTGAACATTTCACTAGTGCGACCACGATTGGGCCTGGTGGTACCACAACTCTGAGATTGTTCAATGACCGGAAGTACGACATTTGGGGCTATGTTGGGGTACTGGCCAATAAGACATCGGTCACTAAGAGTACCCTCGTTTATAATAGTAGTTACATAATTGCGTCCTGTCTTCGGTGGATTGATAAGAACAATTCGTGGGTGTTTGCCTGTAAGGTACTACCCTTTCTAAGGGTTCCACAATTTTTTTAATCAAATTTCCTAGTCGGGACAACATGGAAATAGTAGTGTTGTTCATTGCGAATGTAACGAATTCTCAGTCCTTGCCGGGTACTTGCGAAATATTGACAACGACTTACAAAAAGTCGAAAAAGCAGAACTCGAATTGGAGCTACAACGAAGCCTAATTATTTTCATAACTGTTGCAACAACTTTTGGACTTTATTTACTTCTCTTGTTATTTACACTGATCGGGAAGAAAGTAAGTACTGGGGGTACTGGTACCACGTAATGGCAAATTTTTAGTACGAGGTGTACTTCTTACCTGACAATGACCGAAGGAGCCGGTTTGCGTACCTAGTGGTTATAAAAACCGGCTTTGGACGATATGCCTCCACTTCGTCCAATGTCACGATTCGTCTAATTGGTACCAAAATGACCAGCATGGTACCAGCTACTCGAAATATACCAAAAAATAAATTCGGTTTGTAGCCCCACGTTTTGAATTATCCTGACCCTAAAATGAGGATCTTGCAAAGAAATAACCGGGAGATATTCGTGGTGACAACCAGTGGCCATTTGGGCGACATTGTCAGAATCGAGCTGTGGTTCGATTGTGTGGGACCAAACCCTGATTGGGATTGTCGTTTTATTCTAGTTTATGATATCCAAACAGGACAAGAGTGGTATTTCAATGTCAAAAAACGTCTCGCTGTCACTAAAGGCGAAAGCTTTATTTCCTTAACACCCACACAAAGGGAGCATGAAATACCGAAGAAAAAATACGTTCCGAAATTTCGTATCGCCAACCATAGTTGGAATCTGTTCCAACGCGAACTCAATTTTGGGTACCCGAAAAAACTAACTGTTATTTTCTCATCGGTGTTTATGACGTTTTCTATCGCCCTTTTTCTCCACGTAGTACCAGATTTCGCCCTAAGGGATAGTCTCGACAAGTGCGAGTTTAATGTCGATGTCTTTACAGTGTTGGTGGGTTTCATGAGCGCATTTGTGGCTTTTACTTGTCATATTGCGATCGCGTACTGCTTTCGGTACCATTAGCCCTAAATTTTTCCCCCTAGTACTAAGGGAGTTTCAGGTTTTCGAAAGTGCAATTCTCACGGGACCAAGACTACGCCAAGTTATCGTATCGTCTAACGGCTCATTGTTGGTGAGTACTTTGAGTAATAGTGGTGGTACCACAATAATTTTTAATTAAGGTTACTACTAATTATTGTGATGAGTGTTTCGATTTCTTTGTTGGTGATTGCGGGGTTTTGGGTACCACCGAATCGGAGTTGGCGATGGTTGACCTCTAGTGGCATCGGCATTGCTGTTGGAGCCATTATTTATGAAACTGTTTTTCTGTTTTTCATCAGTATTTTATGGAATTTGAGACTGGAAAAGGTACTCGTGGTGCTTGTAGTTTCGGTACTTTTAACCGTTTGTAGGGGGATACAATCGGAAGGAGTTTTAAAGATGTTTGGAAAAATGTGGAGGAACAGAGGTGGTTCCTACATAAAAAATTCGGGGATTTGATTTTGAGACCCTACTTTCGGCATTTGTACCAACCGTTGGACCGCAGACAAGTCACAGTTGGTACCACAGGTGTGTCTAACTCGTTTCAGTCTTGTTTTTCAGCAAAAACAAATGGTTGTGGAGCGTCGCAGGTACGTCATTTCCGAATTGGAAGACTTGGTGATGTTTGGCATCTATGTGGTGATTTTGTACGTCGTGGTTTGGTCAAACAAGGACAGTTTGATCATCGGTAGCAAAAAAATTATGCAAGACTTGATGGATGGTACTTACACTCGAAGTTTACCATTTTCAGACATCGAAACACCTTTGAAGTAATGCAATAGTGTAGTAACCCAGAAAGTGGTACCAAAATTTCAGATTCTACGAATTTTTGAATGAGACTTTGGTACCAGCGGTGCAACCAAGCCGATGGTATGGCAACTACGTGGTGGCCGATCCGGGTTTAATGCTCGACATGAGCAACAAAATCATCGGAGTGACCCGTTTACGCCAACAACGAATCAAAAGGAAACTCTGCAAACCACCCGAAATTTTGGCATTTTTGAACATGACTTGCGAGCCGGAAATCACGTGGTGGCGGCAGGAAAAAAGCCGTTATGGCTACAGTTGGGGTGATTTTACTCCTTATTTGGTGTTTGATCGGTTGCAAAATATTTGGCAGTACTCGGGAGCCGTCAAGACTGGCACTTTTGGGTCAACTGGTACTCAATTTTTTATTTTTGTCCCAAAATTGAGTTGTTTCTTAGGGGAAATTTCGTCGTACACTGGTGGTGGCTATGTGGGGTACTTGGGACGTACCCTCTACAACACGTATGCCAACCTTCGCAGATTTCTGGAAAAACTCTGGATCGATCAAGGGAGTCGAAGCATTTTTATCGAGTTTTTGACTTACAACGCCAACTATAACGTCTTTAACTCGATTAAACTGCTGTACGAGCAAAGTGCGAGTGGCTACAATGCTAAAACTGTCGAAGTACTCACCGTTTTGGTACAAATGCGAGTTTTTTGACCCAATTTTGGGTTTTAGGTCAACGCAGTTCGCATGCTTTTTGTCAAACGAGAACTCGAGAGCATTACTGTGGTTGTGTTTTTCATGTTTATAATTTGGGTTGGGGTACTTTTCTTCAAGCAATCGGTGGGGGTGATTCGGAAAGTGAAGAGTTTCTACAAGGATCCTTGGTTTATGGTCGATTGTGTTATAATCTTCATGAGTGTTATTTGTGTTGCACTTTTTGTTGTGAGGATGAAGATGATTGGTCTTTACCTTGATAAGTTGGAAAAGCTCAAACACAACGAGTTTTCGAATTATTTTTTCTTGTTTTATTTGGAAGATTTCCTGCAAGTTTTTGCCGCTACTTTGGTTTGTATTGCGACAGTGCGACTGTGGAAGTTTCTCCGGTTTGGTCTATTTTTCCGAATTTTGGAGTTCACCATATGGAAGAGTCTGCTACCACTCTTTAGTTTTTCCATCGCTTATATTTTGCTACTTTTCGCGTTTGCCCTACCTTTGGTACTTTTGTGTGGCTCCCAAATCCTCGTATTTAACAAAATAACACGAGTAGTACGACCCATGTTTACCATGGCTTTAAGTGCAAGTGATTTAACACTGAAAACTTTTCTGGAAATCAAAGGTTCGGCGTTTTACATCGTCCTGTATGGGCTTATTGTAAAAATAATTTTTTTGATTTATATAATGATCATTATGATGTCGTATTCCACGGCCCAAATGAAATTTTCTAACGAATTGGAGATTTATACTATTAAAAATTACGTCCAGGAACGATTCAATTATTTCCCAAAATACGTCAAGTACAAATACAAGAGACTCAGATCTGGGCAAACCAAGCAAAGTCAAGTGGAGCCAAAACCGGACAAGTTCGTGTATTCCAATAGTTTTTCTCTGGAAACTTTCAAAATGCTTACAATGAAGTACATCGTCCAGTGTGTTTTTAGAAACATGACGAAACGTAAAACCGCCAAGCTGTCCGAGTGGGATTTGAAATTGATGCTGGGAGTGAGTCGGCGATTTTTAGTTAAAGCTCCACCCAAAGAAGTTGAAGTTTTCTTCAAAGGGAGGATTTCGGGGAAAAAAATTTCGCTGATAGACGAACGCAACGTGTGGAGGATTGCGGATGTTGTGGGAGCGTTACTTGAAGAGAAACACAAGGAGAAAACCAAGGAAGAAATTAAGGGAAGTCGTAGTTATGAAAAGTGCGTCACAATGATTAAGAAAAATCAAAGCACGCTGAAGAAGTGTGATTTGAAGTTGAAGTTGTTGTTTGCGAAGTTTGTCAGTTTTGAGTTTCAGTTAGCAAAAGTGTTAAAATAAAAGGCTTAAGACATTGCTTTTGAATTGTTTTCGGTAGTTCTTTTGCAATTATTGTGATAGCAAATATAAAGAGAAAGGGTCTCAAAACGTTTTTGGATAGAGTCTCAGAAACCATATTTTTCTACAATCATGAAAAAAATTGAACTTTTCACATTGAAATTAATACGCGAAATTGGTCATTTGTTGTGCATAAGACAATAGTTATTTATTCGACGAGTTTGAGTGTAAATCGGACGCATTTTTTCATCAAGTAGATTATTAAACCACGAGGTGGAATAAAGCATCCGATTTACACTCAAACGAGTTGAATACAACATTTTATTCTTCGAATTAGACTCAAAATGGCTTAAACTTGCTTTAAATCTCTAAAAATAATCTGACGTTTCGTATTGAAAAATGCCAAACAGTTGTCAAAACTTCCTTACACGGGAGAAAAACCGTAAATTTTGACAGTGTCGAAGAATAATATATGTATATTTTTTAAAAGTCAACAATTTTTATCTAATTGAAATTCAAATACAATTCAAATAAATGTCAAAAGATGGCGGGCGAATAAAAGTGCGAAATTTAAAAATGTGCACATGTTCTAAAAATAATAAGAGAAAGAGAGTGCGCGCATAAACGCATAAAAACAAATAAGAGAGAGAGAGAAAGAGCGTATTAAAGCAAAATACAAAATAAGAGAGCAAAGCAGAAAGTCAAAAAGCAAATATGTATGATAAAAGTAAATAAACACAATTAAAAAAAATTATAGACTTTATCGATATCGACCTTAAAAAGAGTAAAAGTAAATTTTTGTCAAAAATGTGTATAAAACATTGTAGAGCCGCAAAAAATAAATTTGGGATTTTTTTTTTAACTAATATATTAGATTAGAGCAAAGACAATGCCGGAAGCGTGGTGGCGCAGTGACATAAGGTGCCGGGTTCGCATCCCAGTTAAGGCACAATTTTTTCTCTCATTCAGATTCAAATAAATATCAAATCGACTCTCCCAATGAAAACTATAGTAACTCAAAAATTACAGTTTTGAGAAAAATTGCATTGAATCTTGGATTGTTCTTAAAAAAATCAAGGAACTGTTTAATATTATTGAAAATTATTGAGGGTCAAAATTTTGGTATATAATTGTTTATTCAAAAAAAATTTTTCTCGTTTTTGTATTTTGGGCCCTACATGGGCCATCGTAACTCAAAAACCAATTTTTATGAATTACTTTACTTTTCGTTGGGCGAGTCGAAATGATGTCGCTGTAAAACATGTGCATAAATAAGTAAATATAAAAAATTGAAACAAAAAGCAAAAAAGTGATAAAAAAAGAATAGATAAGTAGTGTAAAACAACATAAAATGTATGATTAAAATAAAGAAATAAATGAAAATACTTTTTAATAAAAAATACGCATACAAGCTTAGTTAAAATGTGTCGTATTTATGCGTTGTTTACTGAGATAAACCAGTGATTAGATAAGAAGGGCAAATAATAATAAATGCAAATGCCATATAAATAATTTATTTAAAGACTCCGTACACCACATAACAGAATATATAATATTTGATTCCCTAGCGACTATGAAACGAATTCATTTATTTATACAGGGTGTATATGCTTTAAAAATTATTGTACTAACAATATCATTAGTGTCATTACCGCCCCACGTGTACCAACTTAACACATGATATGATACGTACACACTTACCAAAAGAAGAAGATGGCACACTAAGAAAAGCAACTACAAGTCCATCAAGTCTGTCTTTATCACAGACTGTCTTACATCCAAATGTCCTTTGGTGTTAATTCGTATTGTTCTGGGTCCCAACTGTGAAATGTCTAGGTGGTGCAAGGAGGACAAGGCGGTTTTTGTGTTTGTTCCTTGACGTAATTTTGAACTGAGAATTTGTTTCGATCAGTGCGATTGCCACTTAGCCGATATTTCAGCTCCCTGAAAGTCAATTAGAGAAGTCGAGTGGGAGATTAGTTAGTATAGTAAAATCGTTTTTCTAAGACCTACTAAAAATTTTATGACACATTATAAGGGATTAACCAAACAATGGCTTGAATTTGTAACCCTCCATAAATGGCACGTTCCTTTGCAAGTGTTGCTGCATCCACTAGAATAAAACAGGGCCGTATTTAAAACTAAACTAGTTGTAGAGTTTTACCAAGCTATTATTAAAAAAAAATCAGATTTATTTAATAATAGCTTGTTAATAACCACCTGGCTTTTTTAAATTTCTTAAAATACTTGACTTTAATAACAACTACATCAAAAACTATTAAAACATTTCCAGTATTTTAGGCAAAAAGAAAGTAAGTAATCCGGCCCTGTTAAAAACTGACCTGTTTCATTTATGATTTGTTTACCCTCTGGTTTACTCTTAACAATACCGCATTTAACGTAAAAGTAATAAAAATTTTAGTAGGTCTTATGAAAACGATTTTACTTTACCTTGCAACGGCCAAGAAGGCCAATTCGACGTTTTGCCCGCTCTTTGCCGACGTTTCCATAAAAGCGACGTTGTATTCCCGGGCTAATCGCTCCCCGTCCTCCCTGCGGACGGCCCTGTCACTCCCGCAATCCGCTTTATTTCCTGGAAAAGCCCAATTAGTGGCGAAAAACCAGAGCCGGACTCACCTAATAACATGATCACGACGTCGTCTTGGGCGTACTCGCGGATCTCGCTGAGCCAAGCGCGGATATTGTCGAAGCTTGTTTTGTTGGTGACGTCGTAAAGCAACAGAAGGGCTAAAAATTCACTTAATTCGGGGGAAACCCCAAAAATTCAATTTTTTACCGTGCGCGTCCCGGTAATAAGCGTGGGTGACGCTCCTGAAGCGCTCTTGTCCCGCCGTGTCCCATATTTGGAGTTTCACTTTGGTCTGATCCACTGTAACTACTTTATTCTGCAAAAAATGGGATTATTGAAATCGAGTTTAGGGAGCTGGAAAGGGATGGCTCACTCTGAAATCGATCCCTACTGTCGAAATATAATTCCCGGAAAGAAAAAGGCCGTCCCGGAATTGCATCAAAATGCACGTTTTGCCCACGCCGGAGTCGCCCAAAAGCATCACCTACAGGGCGGCCAAAAAGGAAAATACAGAGTGCACAGGCGGCGCATGATAATATTTATGCAAAATGTGCTGTGGCAGCTTTTTGAGTAAAACTGTATTTTATTCTGCTTATAGTCAACTATTAAATTAATAAAAAACAGTGTTGAATAAATTCCTAAATTATTTATTTAACATTAAGAAAGTAAGCGTGAAAATTGAAATGCAAGAACGCAAATATTAATTTAAAGGTAAGGACGCAGACTTTAGAACGTAAACATAAAGAAGTAACACAAGGAAGTAAAAAAAATACGTAAAAACAAAACATAAGAATGCAAATAAAACATAACAAAGAAAAGTAATAATGTAAAAATTTTAAAATACTTTTTTTGTTACGTAAGTTTAGTAATCCTAATAAATGCGTAGAAACGTAACGTAAGCAATAAAAATCAAGTATTCAAGCTGAAAAAGTGTATCGTAAATCGTAAGGAAAAACGTGTAGGCAAGAATATAAAAATGTAAGAATTAAGCAAACATAAGTATGGTTGAAAAAAAACGTAAAAATATAAAAAAGAAACTTGCTGTTTTTTAAAATAACAAAATTAATTACTTTTAAATAACTTAAGGATTTCAGAATCAAGAATATTACTTCTTTGTAAGATTGTGCAAATAGTAGTAGTGTGAAGACGTAAGAACTTAAAATTCTTAAACCAATATGTACAAATTTGTTCATCTTTATTTAAAATAAAATAAAAAAACAGATATTTAAATTAGACAAAAAAAAGGCGCAAAAACGTAAAGACGTAAGTAGTTAAAAGGATGAAAATAAAGAAATGTTGAAAATTTAAGGAATTGGTTTGGACTTTTTATGCATTTGTGTGTGTCGTAAGAAGGTAAGGTAAAACGTAAGAAGTTAAGGACGTATACGTACACATATCCATATTTGATAATACAGCAAATAAAACATAACAAAGAAAAGTAATAACGTAAAAATTTTAAAACAAAATATTTGTTACGTAAGTTTAGTAATCCTAATGAGTGCGTAGAAACGTAACGTAAGCAATAAAAATCAAGTATTAAAGCAGAAAAAGTGTATCGTAAACCTTAAGGAAAAACGTATACGCAAGAATGTAAGAATTAAGGAAACATAAATATGGTTAAAAAACAAAAACGTAAGAATATAAATCTAGGACAATTCAAGAAACTTGCAGTTTTTTTGGAATAAAATTGTATTAATTTTTCTATAAATAGGTAACCAACTACAGTATGTCCCTGGATTGAGTTTACAAGAGGAAAAAAAAATTATCTTTGACTTTACGCCAAAACTGCAAAGGAAAAACATTTTTTGCTTCACCTGAAACGAGCAACTCTGTAATTAAAACTTCATTATTCTAACTCAATAGAAAGAAAAGTCCATTTTTCTCTTGATTTTGAACTTATAATAATTTTTCTCTGCTTTTTAAATCCCATCACATTGGCGGTTTTATTTTTTTGACAATGATGTCACTTTGACAAATGAGTTTTCGCAAGTTAAATAACAAAAATGTTTGTAAAAAA